GAAATCAACAGAAGGTTCAATAGAGGTCGAATTAGAAGTCGAGGGTGGCAAAGTGGAACCTGCAAGAGAAGTATCAACCTGCACAGACTCATCTACAAGGTCAGAACAAATATCACACGGGGATGAACTGGATTGAGAAATGTGCGGTAATGAAGTGGTATGGGGGGATGAATCAATATGATGAAGATGTGGTTCCAAGAAATTTGAAATAGGAATAGAGGAAAGAGGTTGGGCCTGGGAGCTAAGGATAGTAGGAAAGTGAGTTTCATCAAATTGAGCATGGCAGGTGATATATAGCTTAGTGGTGGCGGGATCAAGACAACGGAACCCTTTATGAGCAGGACTATAACCCAAAAAAATACAAGGAATGCTACGGGGAGAAAGCTTGTTAGGCATATAATCACGCAAATAAGGATAAACACGACAACCAAAGGGATGAAAATTATCATAATGTGGAGTGTAGCCATAAAGGAGTTCAAAGGGTGACTTACCTCCAAGAAGTGGAGTAGGCAACCGGTTGATAATATAAGCTGTAGTGCTGAAGGCGTCAACCCAAAAACGAGGTGAAAGATGAGAGTGAAAGAGAAGGGCCAAGCCAGTCTCAGTCACGTGACGATGTTTTCTCTCAGCACGACCATTTTGAGCAAGTGTATATGGACAAGAGAGTTGATGGTGGATGCCAAAATTACGTAAATGAGTTTTGAAACAAGTACTAGTAAATTTGGTACCACCATCGCTTTGAAATACCTTGATACGAGAAGAATATTGATTTTCCACAAATTTTTGAAATTGAAGAAAAATATCAAAAAAATCAGATTTAAATTTTAAAGGGTAAAACCAAGTGAATCGAGAATAATCATCAATAAAAATAACATAATAAATAAAACCCGAATTTGATTTGACGGGAGAAGAACCCCAAAGATCACAATGAATAAGATCTAACACATGAGACGACCTACGTTCATTGGGGGAATAAGGCAATCGATGACTTTTTGCTAGTTGACAAGTATTACATAATGATGGAGAAGGCAATAAAGACGTAAGAGAAAGATGACCTTTTCTATTTAAAAACAAATAACAGAATGATTCACATGACCTAGACGAGCATGCCATAAATCATATGAAGCACATAAAGATTTGTTTCTAAGGGCTGAAATAAAAGCAGAGTTGCCGTGCTTCAGCACATATAGCCCTACATCTCTTTTACCGGTTGCCACCACCCTTCCTGTTTGACGATTCTGGATAGTAATAAGATTATTAGTAAATGTAACGGAGAGAGGAAAGTCAGACGTTAATTTACTTAGGAAAGAAGATTTTTAGTGAGGTGAGGGACAACCAAGACATCTAATAAGTGAATATTTGGAACAGGAGAAAGAGTACCGGTGTGGGTAATGGGTAGGGATGCACCATTTCCTACGATCACAGAGTCCTTACCCGTGTAATTTTTAGACTGATCCAGAATAGATGGGTCGGCAGTCATATGGGCCGAAGCTCCAGTGTCCAGAAACCAATCAGCAGCATCAGGTCCAGCAATAGAACATGACGTGTTAAAGGCTTCAGCAAGGTGAGCATGAGAAGAATCAGGTCGAACATACCACTGGTTGCAGCGGTCAGCATAATGGCCCTCTTTGCGGCATATTTGGCAGTGAGGTGGTCGACAACCCTGACTGGAGTGGGTTCGTCCTCGACTAGAAGAGTTGTTTTTGTGAGAATAAGAACGACCTCGCTGGTTGGTAAAGGAAGCAGGGTGGTTTCCATGGGTGCGACCACGATTAGTAGCTGTGAATGTTGTAGGAGTGAAGTCAGAGGACTCAAGGGAGCGCTGAAACAACTCAAAACTTTCAGCTTTAGAGACTAAATCTACAAAACAGGGGATAGGGGTGAGAGCCATCTGAGCAGTAGAAAAAGCTGAAAATTAGGTGCCGAGTCCACGAAGGAACCAGTGCACTTTATCAATGTTCTCGACGGGTCTGCCAATGGCATGAAGTTGGTCACAAATTTTTTTGAAGGCACGAGCATACTCAGCAACAGGTTTGGTGCCACGTTTCATCAACTGCAAGTCATCCTTGAGTCTCAGTTCACGAGCTTTCGACTTATGGCCGAACGTAGTTTCCAACGCAAGCCAAACATCACGTGCAGTAGAGAGACCAACGACAACAACCATGGCTTCCTCAGTGAGAGAGGAGAGCAGGAGACAGAGAAGTCGTTGATCGGCTACTCTCCATGCCAAATATTTGGGGTTGAGTGTTGAGGAGGTTTCTGGTTCAAAGCGAGGTGGTGGAATCATAGTTCCATCGACATAGCCCAGCATGTCTTGACTCTCAAGGAGAGGGAGAAGTTGGCTTTTCCAAAGAAGATAATTGGAGGAAGAAAGTTTGATGGTGATCATATGGATTAGAGTATTGAAAGGAAGAAGATGATAAGAAGATTCGGACGCCATAGAGAAGAAAGGATCATGGTTGTTAAATCAAAGGGGCTCGATACCATGTGGATGTTTGCTGAATCCACCACACCTAAATGGGGGTGAGAGTGCTCTTATTTATAATCATTTACAGAATACAGAAATATGGTAAATTACAAATAATATGGAAATAGCAATAAAAGGAAAGAATAATAAATGAATACAATATATTTGCCTTTAATAAAAGGGCCTTATAATGAACGGTCAACTATTCTTAGTTAGAGAAAGATATGACTATGAAGTGTTTACGTTATGACTTGGTTATGATATGATACATTGTATGCTAGATTATTGTGCTTAAGTACGAAATCATGTGAACGTGAATGTATGTTATTTATGTTGCTTAGTTGATGTGATATGAATGCATGTGATGATGTGTGACCCTTGTACGATTATGGCTTGTTGTATGAGTATTGGAATGTAACTAAATGAATTGTATGACATGAAATACGGTAAATTGCATGATATATAACCCCGCTAGGAATATGTATGATGTGTAACAGAATGAGAATGAGAATGACATGTAAGCATGAAAACGTGACACGGGGTTATGTTCATTAAATGATGACTGTAGGACTAGTGGGACCTCATGCATATTGTGTGATCATGCATTTGGGGGATACCCCTATCCCATCACGAGGGTACAGACGCGCACATCCAAATGGCAGGACAACGATCGTTATGCCTTGCATAGCGCTGCCGTGACGGTTTTAGTTTTAACGGGTCCCGGTGGGCCCCCAGAGCATGCCCACCGACTAGGGACAGTGGCCCAGCGGTGTGCGAACTAGCTGGTGAGCCCATACTCGCACGTATGGGCTGCGTGTAGAGTATATAGTACACATCCACGATTACCTGTTAGGATTACATCGTAGGGAAAACGAAATGAAACAAAATGAAATGAAACGAAACGAAACGAAACGAAAGATAGGTCCCATCATTTCATTGCATGTGATTGTTGTATTTAACCCCAATAGTGGGGTCACTTACTGAGTATTTCTTTAAATACTCAAGCCATGTGCTACTACATTTTTCAGGTTAAGGCAAGGCATTCTTGTACGGCTGACGATGGCATCGCAACTCGAGATCATGGCACATGCATAGGATAGTGGCATTTATTTTCTTAGACTTAGGATAGAATAGGATGTTTTAAACTTAAACGCTTATTTATTTTATTTCGGGTCTTTTGTTGTGTCGTTTTAAAGATGTTTTTGAAACACGTAAGTCCATGGCTGTGTTTTAAGTTAAAGGTTATGTTTTATGGAATTTAAATGAAGTCTTCCGCATTCAATGTTTATGGTACGTATACAGTAGCAACCTTAAATTAAGTAGAAAATTTCGGGTCGTTACAAAAATGGCACCAAAACAACGTAGAACGCCAAAAATTTTCTTTGAAACTCTAGTTGTAGTTTTATTCGGTGCGGAGTAAGTATATGTTCACCCAGATCATCATTCCTTGACTTGCAATGAACCGTTAGAGTTGAAGCAGTCATAAAATTTAAAATAGTCACTTGCCATGGGGTGAATGGTAATTGTAGCTTAGATTCTGCAATGCAAAACTTCATCATAATGTTCGATGTCAAAGCAGCGAACACGATTAAACATAAAATGCTTAGCGACTTCATTTTCTTCTCTCTCTCAACCCTTTAAAAAACTTATTTCTATTCTCTTTTATATGTACCCATATAGCCAAAGTGAGGGGGTATGAAGTTATATTTTAACCACAATTAATTGAAAATGTGTGCATACCTTCTATTAAAAGTTATGTTAGCTTAATCTGTCTTACCTTGACTCATTTAAATATGGTTAAATATGGTTAAATATTTTAAAACGAAGTTGTTGGTCTTGAATATTGTGGTCACCCCTATAATTAATTAATTATAATATATATATATACCTCAAAATATTGTTTTAATCATTAATAGATTTTTAGGTAAAATTTTAAAAAAATATGATTATCTAGAATTTAAACTTAAATGTGAGATTTGAGAATTATGATTCTTTTTAAAATATTTTTATTTAGGTTCAAGTTTAAATTTGACCATTCATGCATCAAGTTTATCGGTCGTTTTTTTTTAGGTCAACTTTACATGCTTTTCTCGGGGTTGGACGGCGAAATAAAATGTTGTATTTTTTGGTAGATCGATATGGATTTGATTAGTTTTTCTGGTGGGTATCTTTAATTCTCTTGAAAAATACATCATATGCCTAGACAAGAAACAATCACATTTGTTAGCGACATGCCGGAAGTATTAACTTACGTAGTTTTTGCTGACATCTTATACTTTGCTTTAAAGCATTAACATAAGATGTCTTGAATCACCTCTTTCAGTGACTATCAAGGCTAATTACTCGAGTACACAACATGTAACTACCGCAAAATTACCAATCATATCATGCATAAAAATAGGTCTCAAATACCGTTAAAAAAAAAAACTTGTATTATATATCAATATCATATGAAAAATAAACCTAGAAAACAAAAACATTTAATTTCAATAGTAAAGGCTCTTCTTTATTGAGTTCCTAATGACAAAATAAACTCTGTTTGAGGCATCTCAATCCAATCCCAAATTAGCACTTATCCTATGGTGAGTCTATCGATATCAATAAACAGTTAATTTTGAAAGACGCTTGGACCCTTGTTTAATTCGTGTTAGAGCTTGTTTAAACTTGTAAATTTGACTCCAACGGTCTTTGAGTAATAATAATAAAAAAAAATCGCCCTTGACACAATAGTACTCCAGTTTTGGATTTAGAGAAACTGTCACCAAATTTTGTGTAACGATCCGAAATTTTCTACTTAATTTCAGGTTGCTACTATATACATACTATAAACATTGAATGCGGAAGACTTCCTTTAAATTCCATAAAACATAACCTTTAACTTAAAACACAGCCATGGACTTACGTGTTTCGAAAACATCTTTAAAATGACACAACAAAAGACTCGAAATAAAATAAACAAGCGTTTAAGTTTAAAACATCCTATTCTATCCTATGTCTAAGAAAATAAATGCCGCTATCCTATTCTATCCTGTGCCATGATCTCGAGTTGCGATGTCGTCGTCAGACGTACAGGAATGCCTTGCCTTAACCTGAAAAATGTAGTAGCACATGGCTTGAGTATTTAAAGAAATACTCAGTAAGTGACCCCACTATTGGGGTTAAATGCAACAATCACATGCAATGAAATGATGGGATCTATCTTTCGTTTCGTTTCGTTTCGTTTCATTCATTTCGTTTCGTTTTCCCTACGGTGTAATCCTAACAGGTAATCGTGGACGTGTACCATATACTCTACACGCAGCCCATACGTGCGAGTATGGGCTCACTAGCTAGTTCGCACACTGCTGGGCCACTGTCCCTAGCTGGTGGGCATGCTCTGGGGGCCCACCGGGACCTGTTAAAACTAAAACCGTCACAGCAGCACTATGCGGAGCATAACGATCGTTGTCCTGCCATTTGGATGTACGCGTCCGTACCCTCGTGATGGGATAGGGGTATCCCCCCAAATGCATGAACACACAATATGCATGAGGTCCCACTAGTCCTACAGTCATCATTTAATGAGCATAACCCCGCGCCACGTTTTCATGCTTACATGTCATTCTCATTCTCATTTTGTTACGTATCATACATATTCCTAGCGGGGTTATGTATCGTGCAATTTACCGTATTTCATGTCATACAATTCATTCAGTTACATTCCAATACCCATACAACAAGCCATAATCGTACAAGGGCCACACATCGTCACATGCATTCATATCACATCAACTAAGCAGCATAAATAACATACATTCACGTTCACATGATTTCGTACTTAAGCACAATAATCTAGCATACAATGGATCATATCATAACCAAGTCATAACGTAAACACTTCTTAGTCATATCGTTCTCTAACTTACCATAGCCTTAACGTTCTTATACCTATCACAGACATATCATTACGTGACGTACCTTAGTCATATCATCACCAGAACGTATCCTAACGCCATCGTTCTATCAATCTATCACAAACCTATCCCTCTCTACCCATAACCTAACCGTATTCTTTCATCAATCTCTCCTATCCATAGCACTCCAGTATGTAACCTAACCTATCGTTTCATGAACGTATCTTACTCCTATCGTTACATTTCGTTTTGTGCATCCTTCTTTTATCCTATCTCAAACATCTCCTAGAGCACATCGTACCATAATTATTATCATACAATCCACATATTATAACATAACATAACATATAGGAAGCATATCGATCCACAGACAATTCACACATATCAATATATATGACACGTGCCGAACCACAGTGCACGTGTCAACATCAAATATAACCATGCCGATAGTAAGGTCACTTACCTGGCTCGCTTAAGTCATTGTCACAAATATATCTTTAATGAAAGTTCGATTCCATCTTTTGAAATCTGAGTCAACCTACATGAGCTCATGACATGCGTTTCAAGTATGAACTCTATAAAATTATTTCCCTAATTTACATTGGCCATCTTAAAATTATGATCCTGTCTGTTAGACAAAATTTAAAGAAGCTCCCTACGTCTGATAAAAATTCTTCTTAGACAAAATTTAAAGGGGCTCACTGACTAAATACTGTTTAACAAATCTTTCCTCATTCTCCCTCTCTCTCTCTCATTTTTTTTTCATTCTCTAAATGAGTTTTTCAATTGTGTAAACAGATATTACCAGCCAATTTTAAGTACAGGCTAGATCTTTTAGTTGATAGATCTGCTACCTAAAATTTTATTGAATCTAATTTTATAACCTTATTTCGTATAATTAAAATGCTAACAAAAATCTACTAATTGTATATGGGATCGGATTATTACAGACGGTAAGATAGGAAAGAAGATTTGATCCTAAATTAATTTCTTATAACCACAACGAAGATTTGATCCTAAATTAATTTCTTATAACCATAACTAAATTAATTTCTTATAACCATAATGCAAAGGAAAAGGAAATCTGAGATAGAATTTTACGGTCCGACAAAAATCTCTAAATCTGCAATCTGTTCAAAGCCATTTTACTTCTTCTCAAATATGACCATGGTTGTTTTCTGTTTCTTTCATTTTTTCAAGGTAAGATGGGTAAAGGAGAGATAATTGTGGGAAGAGATGAGAGCTTGGTGGAGAGAGGTGGGGAAAGATCTTTTCTTTTTTTCTTTTAATTTTAATTTAATTAATTAATTTATTTATTATTATTATTATTATTATTTTAACTTTTTATTTGTTTATTTCTTTATTTAGTTTTGGGCTATTACATTTTGTGCTTAATTGACTTATGATTCTGCCTAGATTGGGTCCTGCTATTGGAAGTCAATAGTTTGTTGTCTCGGCATGGGTGGGACTGCGAGTCGAGTCATTTGTGCTACAACTCCTTCAACCACCACTCCAATTTTTGCTTCCTCGAACTTTACTTGCACTCATGGCTCTTTAGTAATTATAGCTGGCGAGTGGGCTGTCTTCCGACTTAAAGTATCGACAACTATTATTGCCTTCTTGCCCTGTATTGGATATCTATGTCATAATCATTCACTAGCTCCAACCATCTATATTCACTTTCTTCTAGGTGAAGAAGTACTTCAAACTCTTGTTGTCGGTATAAATCTAAGGTTTTTTCTTTATATAAATAGTGTCATCAAATCTTCACTATAAAATTCGATGACACTACTAGATTTATCAATATAAATAGTGTAACAATGGAAAGAAAGTACAACTTATCACTATTAAGTCGGAAAAGAGAAATTTTGAAGGATGAGAGTTCTTTGTATCCTGTGTGAGTTTTACTGTAAGTATCACTATTATGTTTTTTTATTTCAATAAATATGTAAGAGATCAACCTTTGACCTTCAAGTAAATAACGAGTATTTTTATTCATAGCTTGAGATTCACGGTAGAACGCAAATTAATGGATTACATCATTTCTAAGAATATATTTATTGGAGTTGGTAGAGCTATAATGCAAGGAAATGTCTTGATCTCCTACTGTCAACATGCAATTATGATCAACATTGATCACTAAGCCAACTCTATTCCTCATATTTACTGCTAAAATTGCACCAAAACAGTGTGGTTTGCAAAAGGTTTTCGTTAAAGCTTTAGTTGTAATTGCCTTCGGCATTGATATCATGTTCGCTCAAATAGTTACCTTTTGACTTGCAATGAACCACTAGAGTTGAATCCGCTATCTAAATCAAAATGGTCACTTACCAATTGGACAGTACAAGTTGAATCTTGGATGCTGTTAAACATGACTTAATTGTATTTTTTGGTTTCAAAGCAATCAATATGATTAAACAACATATGTTTAGATACTTCATTTTTTTTTCTTTGGAGGTTTCTCACTCTCTCGACTTGTTCTTATTTTGTCTTATTCATATATATATATATATATAGCCAAATTGAATACTTATACTATAGTGTCAATCGAAATAGTGGTGTAAATTTATTTTATTTAAAGGTCTTTATGATGGAAATTTTGAAAATTGTAAACGGCTCATTCAATGAGTTTTTAAACGCCTTTATGACTATCCTCTATTTATTGATGGAAATTTCAAAATTGTAAACAAAATTAAATAATAAGAACCAAATGTAATGTCACCATAATGTTCTTACCTTGTTTGTTTAAATGTATACATATTATGTTTAGTGGGACCGTTACTTATGCATTATTAGTTTGAATCTAAGATATGATATGTCAATTAGATGAAATTATGTTGTACCAACTTCTAAAGTTTGAATGACAAATTTTCCAAACCAAGAATTTTATAAACTTTGACATGCACGATAATCTTGTACTATACTTACTCCTTAAGAATGATCAGGTGCCCCACCGAAAATAACACTAGTAAGCTTGACGTATATTTGTTCATGTCTGTTGGCATCACCATAAAGTTTCTATCGACCATCCATGATAGTGTCTCGACGTCAGGCTATCCTTGTGAACTAATTAGTTTGAAGACATTAAAATTTTAAAATTTTGAAAACCAAATTTAATTAGAAATGAACTTTTAATCTCAGAAAAGATAAGGAGCATTTTTATTCATAAAATTATTTATTAAAATTAAATTAAAGTCAGAGTTTATCATTTCCATTGATACATTAACTCGAAGGCATTGCGAGATCCAAAATACAAGTAAATACCTTGGTCTCGACATGCCCAAGTGCAGGTATGATGAACACATTGAAAATTAAGCCAATTCCATTTGGCTGTCCAAAAAACATTCCCACTAACTTGTCCATGTTTACTGCTAAAATGGCACCAAAACAGTGTAGAAATCCAAAAATTTTCTCTAAAGCTCCAGTTGTAATTATCTCCGGTGCGCAATACGTGCTCGCCCAGATCGTCATCTTTTGACTTGCAATGAACAGTTAGAGTTGAAGTAGTCATCTCATTTAAAATAATCGCTTTATATCGGACGAACGGTAATTGTAACTTAGATTCTGCAAAACAAAACCTCAGCATATTGTTCGATGTCAAAGCTACCAAGACGATTAAACAGAATGTGCTTAGAGACTTCATTTTCTTCTCCAAGATCAGTCACCTTTTTTTACAAATGTACTTGGATTCTATCACTTATATTATATATACATCTAGCGAAACTGAGGCTCTAAGTAGTTATATTTTAACCACAATTAGTTCAAAGTGTGATGTACATTTTCATTATTACAGAATATCTTCCATAAGAGGATGTAAAAGGTAGGGTCAGCTAATCTTTCTTAGTTTTTTCAACGCTCGCTAGCTGTTAGCTTTTGTTAGCAACTGATTTTGTATTTTATTAGTTCTTTTATGTAATGTTTAAAGTTTCGACCCTTCATTATTTTTGTATTTAAAAGTATTAAATTTATGGGTTGTATTTTTTAGAAGTTTAATATGGGTTGTATTTTTTTAGAAGTTTAATGTAACGACCCTAATATTTTACCTATTTAAT